TATCTCTCCTAGTCTTTTCACTTTTCCAGTGTGTGTGTGTGTGTGTGTGTGTGTGTGTGTGTGTGTGTGTGTGTGTGTGTGTGTGTGTGTGTGTGTGTGTGTGTGTGTGTGTGTGTGTGTGTGTGTGTGTGTGTGAGTGAACAGACACACCAAAGACAAAAAAACTGCCTATAATTGTTCAGGATAACTGACCGCAAGACATATTCCAAATAAGAGATCATGCCCTCCTTTGGAAGTGCATGGTGTGAATAACGGTCACAGCAGATGGGGATGTACCATGCCATCTTTGATTGGAGGGGAATATGACACTCAGGGGCTGTCTGAGCTACAGCTGAGCCTCACTGCAGCTCCGTCTGATACACACAACCACGAGCCCTTTAGCTCTGATGCAGGTGGTGTCCGAGCCGCCCTGAACATGCATTAAATCTGTTGATGGAAGGCAGAAATATCACAATGTAAACAGAAATCACCATAACAAGTTTTAGCTTTTCTCTTTTACTGCTGGTTTCCTGCTCTGTGCTCTCACTTTTGACCTCGGTAAATATCGCCCTGTGACATTTAGCTTGTAGCGATGACATCACAGTCGCTGACGATGTGGCCAAGGCGGCAGGAGTCTCTGATCTAATCACCTGCTCAACAAGAGTGGTTGACTTAATAACCAAACCTTTTGAGACCGCCTGTTAATGCTGGATTTATATGTTCTATGAGTGAGAAAATCTGGGAGGACATTTTCTTTTTAGAACTGTCACAGCTCTGCACAAGGGAAGACCCAATCCTGCCATCCAGTATCTGATCTGGTTACAGCTCTCCTTAAGCCTGATGGGGAAAACGTCGATCTCCTTTTGGGGTATGGCCAGTTTTCTATCAGGGGGCATGATGCATTCCTTTACTTTGTTTTTACAAACTTTAAAAATGTCCAAATTAGATATTTTATTAGGATCAAGATTCATTTAATTAATAAAGCAAAACCAGCAGCTCTAACTGGTTTTAACCGGACACACTGCCATCATTTCATCCATTCTGATATAAATATATCAGTTTGTCTTTTCATGATGTGAAGTGGACTTCTATCTGAACATTACACTGTATAACTGTTGTGTTTACTAGAATAAGAATACATGAACGGTGTTTTGTTTTGATGCACAAAAATAATGATAGTTCCTCTGGAGGAGTGTCTCGATAGCATAGAAATCTAGACCAACCATCGCTGCATTGCTGTTGGGCCAGCCATGCTCCATTGTAGCCTCAGCAGGTCTACAATTGGTCTGATCAATTGTGTGTCTAGCCAATCACAGTGCTCTCTGTTTATTGGGCAGGCTAAGCACCAGAGCTGTGACAGAAAAAAACTACAAAGATGGTGTCAGCTCAGGAACGGTGCACGTTTGAAATGACTTTGGCATCAACTTTGGATGATTTAGACTTGGGCTTTTCTTTGAGACATGAGCAGATAGATACTTAAGCCCTTTATTTAGAAAATGGATGTCTTTGCTTCTTCTTCTTCTTCTTTGATGGTGTCTGGCAGACTGCCAGGTTGACTGATTTCCGTCACCTTGTTTGCTGCCCTGATTGGGCCAAGCTCAGTCTAGTTGTGTGCAGAGACCGTTTAAAAGACAACCGTAGATTCCACCCCACAATGGGTTGTGTTGTGGCCACCCTATATATGTAAATAAATATTTCTGGGGTAAAAGTTTTGAGGATCTAATGCTAATGGTTAGCTTCTACTAGCCAAAACATGCTCTCTCCCTCCTGGTTGCGATCCAAGAGGGGTGAGTCCATGAATGCTACATTTATAGCGTGACGATGACTATTTTTTTTCTTATTTCTCATGTTTTTTCATCTATTTTCTTTCAGCGGCTAATGCAGAAAATAGAGGTAGAAGACTTTTTTCACATTCTGCATGCAACTGAAATTTAGTGACAGATGTATTTAAAGAGGACAAGTATACATTTCCCAGTGAGCCTCCACTTTAATAAGCCTTTAGCTGAAACGGTGGAGTTAAATTTGAGGACGGGAAGACCAGTAAAATACCCCAAAGAACGAGAAATAGCAAATCCACAAAACCATCAAGCAAATTGACATCTGTCTTCAAAATGTCTGTCTCCTAAACATGTATATATACTAAATGTCTGTGTCTCCTAAACGTCTTGGTCTACTAAATGTTTATATCTACTAAATGTATATACCGTATCGCCTAAATGTCTATATCTCCTAAATGTTTATTTCTTCTAAACGTCTTTGTCTCCTAAATGTTTATGTCTCCTAAACATTTATATCGCCTTAATGTCTGTTTCCTAATAAATATCTATGTATCCTACATGTCAATGTCTCCTAAATGTATATGTCTCTTAAATAACCATGTCTCCTAAATATCTATGTATCCTACATGCCAATGTCTCCTAAATGTTTATGTCTCCTACATGTCTATGTCTCCTAAATATCTATGTCTCCTAAAAGTTTATGTCTCCTAAATGTCTATATCTCCTAAATGTCTGCGTCTCCAAAATGTATATTCCCCCTAAATGTCTGTGTCTCCTAAATGTCTAAGTCTTCTAAATGTCTATGTCTCCTAAACATCTTTGTCTGCTAAATGTATATGTCTCTTAAATATCTATGTCTCCTAAATATCTATGTATCCTACATGTCAATGTCTCCTAAATGTTTATGTCTTCTACATGTCTATGTCTCCAAAATGCTTATGTCTCTAAAATATCTATGTTTCCTAAATCTCTATGTCTCCTACATATCTATGTCTCCAAAATGTCTATTCCTCCTAAACATCTATGTCTCCTAAATATCTATGTTTCCTAAACGCCTATGTCTCCAAAATGTCTATGTCTCCTGAAGGTCTATGTCTCCAAAATGTCTATGTCTCCAAAATGTCTATGTCTCCTAAATATCTATGTTACCTACACGTCTATGTCTCCTAAACGTCTATGTCTCCAAAACGTCTATGTCTCCAAAACGTCTATGTCTCCAAAACATCTATGTCTCCTAAACGTCTATGTCTCCTGAACGTCTGTCTTCTAAATATCCGTCTCCTAAATGTCTATGTTTCTCACATGTCTATAGCTCCTAAATATCTATATCTCCTAAATGTCTATGTCTCCTAAATGTCTATGTCTCCAAAATGTCTATGTCTCCTAAATATCTATGTTACCTACACGTCTATGTCTCCTAAACGTCTATGTCTCCTAAACGTCTATGTCTCCAAAACGTCTATGTCTCCAAAACGTCTATGTCTCCAAAACATCTATGTCTCCTAAACGTCTATGTCTCCTGAACGTCTGTCTTCTAAATATCTGTCTCCTAAATGTCTATGTTTCTCACATGTCTATAGCTCCTAAATATCTATATCTCCTAAATGTTTATGTCTCTTAAATATCTATGCATCCTACATGCCTATGTCTCCTAAATATTTCTGTCTCCTAAACGTCTGTGAATTCTACACTATGCAAGGACCAATCTGTTAAGAATCTATAAAACTAAGGCAGCAAATTGAAATACTATTAAAAACGTAAGTGTTAAAGAGAGTGTTTACATGAGGTGATTTGTTTCCATGGTTACAATAATGTGTGGAAAATTGTGCTTAATGATAGAATTAAATGAAACATTGTCCTTCCACGGCACAGTCTAAAGGTTTTGTTGTCCCTGCAGCCTGACCTCATCTCTGTGTCCAGACTAACAAGACAAATAAATAAAAACATGCTTTTATTACAAACCACAAGGCTGGCCTGCTTTCTTGTTTGGAAAATTGTGTAACCACCCATCTAGAAGCGAAAAATAGATACTGCAAAAACTGATTTCTAAGTAAGTTTTTTTAAAAAAAGCTTTATTTTTAAAATTTCAAATTATTTTGCTAGTTTTAACTATTCTAGCCAAGCTACCTTTACTGGCAAATATATTTTACTCAAAACAAGAATATTTGATTCATATTTAACAATATTTACTTCATTTTAAGCAATGCTATTTTTCTAGAGAAGTTTTTTAGACTAAATATAAGATAAAATGTCTAAAAAGGAGTTTTTTGTTAGAAATCAGCGTCCTGCACATCGGCGCTGGACAACCTTTCAGCTTGAAAACATGAAGCCAAGCCGTCATCTTTAATCACCATCAGAACGAGATCATTGCAACAGCCATTAGCATTTAGCATAGATCCAGTTGTGTCAATTAAACCAGCGTGTCTATCAATTTATTACATAATGGCAAAGCGACACCATCGCCCATGAAAGTTTGTTTCCTCTGAGGTGAACCATCTGCTGAGATTGATTTCGTGATTGGTCACTCTGCCGCCACAGCCGGGGTTAGTTGGGCCACCGAGGCTGATGCAGCTAACAGACAGGAAGTATGGGGGGACATCTAGATGAGCAGTAGTGTCACATGAGAGAAGGGCAGCGGCTGCAGCTCCCCCATATGGAAGTAACAAAAAACAGGGGGGGAGGGGGTGCATTTGCCACACAGACACCTGGTGCTCCAGATGACAGCTCTGCAGCCAGATGGACCTCATTATATGCACAGTAACACACAAACATACCCACACATGTATACTGACATACAAACATACTGTACACATATTCACTGTTACCGTCTCTTTGCCTCCAGATTTCCCTCAGACTAGGGAGACAGCAAGGGACTGTAATTAAACTTAACGTGTCACTTAAGGGGACTTTACCATTTTGTTTAGAAAAAAGCCTTAATGTTGTTTGTAGCCTTCTGAATAGGTCTTCCAGTTGAAATCTGCAGGCTTGTGTGGTCATGGTGGGCAGATTAAAGAGACCCTATGGTGTATGGTTATCCTGACCATACCCACTACACTCCTCACCACCTGTCATTTCCCTCCACCAAACACCCCCCTGTACCATTCCTCTTAAAGGGGAAGAGCATCAGCAGGTGATGCTTTTCTTTTCCCTGTGTCTGAGTAAGAAGTACTGCCTTCAAACAACGTTAGTTTTCATTTTCAGAAACAACTAAGCCACAGCACTTCCTAACCAGCACCTCCTTACCTCCAGAGCAGCAGAGGGCTTCTTCTTCAGCTCTTCACATTTGCGAAATTTGCAGATCTGGTGGCCCGTTTTTCTGTTCCGGCAGCTGCTGCACTGCTCGCAGTTAATCCGCCGTCGACAGGGCGGGCACATGCCGCAACGTTTCCGTTTCTTTTTACCAGAGTTGATAGCAGAGGCCAGCTCGCTCTGTGCTGGGTATTCGGTCAGCCCGGCCATGTGAAGTGCGCTGTCCGCCAGAAAGACTCCAGCCGGTGTCATGATGAAAAGCCCCGGGTTGAAGGGGAAGCCACCCCCTACTCCATATGGGAAGTCAACTGGACCACCTACGGCGTCCGCGACAGACGTACCCTCCAAGTCGCTAGCCCCTGAGCCTGCGTCGCCTCCGCCAACTCCCACTCCCATGCCCCCAGGCAGGAGCATGTGCTCCATGCCGGCTCGCTTTAGCAGCGCTGCTGCCTGGGCAAAGTGCAACAGGCCATTCTGTCCCTCCAGAACCTGTTCTAGGGTTCGATCTAACTTGGCCGCTGTGATCGTGGAGACAGCAGGTTGAGGAGGGGGAAGTGCCGGAGGTTTAACCAAGTGGCTTTTTGTCGCGCTACTGTCCGTGTGTCCATTGGTGCCGGCAGAGGAGACTGCTGTGTACTGGGAGAGGGTACGAGAGTTCTTAAGGCTCTTACTGAGCGGCTCACTTATGATGCCACTTCGATTCCTGCGCTCAATGACAGGAGAGTCCTGTTTGCAGCCATTCCGCTCCAGGTCCTTTGTCTGGCCCTCCTCCAACAGACCGCTAGACATGGTCCAGAGCGTAGGTGCCTGGGTCGGGGGTGAGGATCGAAAGGGGGCCGGGGTGAGCGAAGACGAGCTCTTTCTTGGTCCGTTCTTTGCTCTGGTGAGGGTGGCTCCTCGCCTCACTGGCCCAAGCAGCCGGCCAACGACAGACAGGCACCGAAGCCTTCTGCCCCGCTACAGCTCAGCCCTCATCCACGGTCTTCCATGGGCTTCAGGTAGCTTCACACAAGAAGAGAAGAGAAGAAAGTCATTACACATTAGCCGTCGCTGACACTGACGTTCTTTAACTGCTTCATTTCTCATTTGATCATGACAACCACTCGGTTCTAAACCAGTATCTCACGGGGCTGTTGGGGATTAAACGCAAACAGTCATGAGGGAGTTTCCAAAAGGTCTTTAGATTCTCGTGAAGGTTTTTACACGCAGGGCCGTGCGATGGTTGTTTTAAAAAATCACCATAAATTTGTTTTCTCAGAATAGCCACAGAGAGTCTCAAATCCTGGTAAGAGAAGAGCGAGTCAGCTTTGGGAGGATTTGACTACTAAAGTTCTGTTAAAATGAAGAAAAACGAGACACAAATACGACACTTTGTGACCAAGTATAGATATTTAGCACAACAGATGCATTTTGTTTGCCATTACATCACATGCATCGTATGTATAAAACATCTAATTAAAATGTCAGACATAGAAATTCCATGATTCCAACTAAAGATTTGCGTTTTATTCCAATATTCGTCGTCAACCATTTACCATACCATACCATCTTTATTTATAAAGCACATTTAAAAACGGCATGGCAGCCGACCAAAGTGCTGTACAGAATAAAAAGTAAAAACACAATATAAAACAATACACGGTCAACAATAAAATGCACAACAAGGCAGATAATTACAGTCAATAAAAAGACACATAATAAAATAATAAAAGTCAGGGATTTAAAAATGCCTGGTCGTAAAAGTGAGCCTTCAGCAGCGATTTGAACCGGAGGAGGGATGGTGCCAGCCTCACCGAAAGAGGAAGTGCATTCCATAGTGTCGGAGCAGCGTAGACAAAAGCACGCTGCCCCCGCGTTTTGTATTTCATTAATGGAACACGAAGCAGCAGGCAATCAGCAGACCTCAACGCCCGGTTTGGCACATATCTAGTGACAAGATCCGACAGGTAATCCGGTGCCAGACCGTTCAGGGCCTTAAAAACAAAAATCAGGATTTTAAACTTGACCCTAAAGTTTACGGGTAGCCAGTGGAGCCGCGCCAGTACAGGTGTGATATGTTCTCTCCTAGGAGTGTTTGTTAAAAACCTGGCTGCCGGTGTCATGATGAAAAGCCCCGGGTTACCAACATTTGCAGACCAGTGGCATCATCGCTAACCCCTGCTACTCAGTGCTGGATGAATGGTGTTCAAATATTTTTAGAGCATTGCCTCTAAAAGCTGCATTGATGGCCAACATAAATGGCATCATCAGTATCAAATAACCAAAGACTGTGCATATTGTCAGACAGTAAATGTGCTTAATAAAAGTGCTTTAACATGAAAACCCTACAGTGACTCGCTAATATGAGAAATTACATTCCAGCACCTGCCTTAAAATGCTAAGGGCCACACTAAATATTTAAAAAGTAACGTGAAAATTAAACTAAAAATAGATTTAGAAGCTTTAACTGAGGAGTTTATCGTGTATAGCTTTAAAAACACAGTATTCGGTTAAAATGCATCACAAAAACAACAGCTTTCACAACACCTCTAGTTTTTCTAACAAATCAATCCACAATCCTGACTGATGAAGCAACACCTGCTCCCCTGCAGCTTCTCTGATTGGCTGGCAAAGAAACAGCACATTAGGGAGCCAAATCCCTGCCAGTTATTAAAATAACATTTAATGAATTAATTTTAACTGAGGACATTAATTTTCTTGATAAATAAGAACAGATTATATTTCTACCAAAAGGACTTTTGTCCTTTTTCTGCAACAGCTTAGCCAACTCCCAGTCGAAAGTTTGGACCCATCATTCGTTCATTTTGAATGAGCGGGTTTGTACAAAGCAAGGTGAGGAGTTTACGCTTCACGATGATACATAAAGATGAATTTCATTCAACATCTATAACTTATCCCCTTCTCACTGACATGACAAATTTACCTCCGACACATGCTGAACTAAATATTTACCATATATCTGATTTAGATTTTTGAAAACAGAAATCAGCACTTTTGATTTGATTTCTTATTACTTTCAAATTACTGAGGCTGTGCAGCTTGTGAAGTGTTTGCTCTAACAGAGTTGTGGAAGCAGAAACATACTGTGAAACTGCTGAGTGGACAGAGATGCATCCAGCGTGCCGTTATTCTCCTGACCTGTCCACGTTCTCTACAGCCTCCCACAGAAACGCCGAGGAAATGGCCGGGCAAGTCCTTATAAGGGAAACAAAGGCAAAGGGAGGGGTAGAGGCTAGGGGGAAATGTCTGTGCAGCGTGTGGAAATTGGAAGGCCAGAATTAGTGGGAGGTAAAGCTTCAAAGGCGAGAGCGCAGCCCCCACATTCTCACCAGCTCAGGGGGATGTGGCGCCAGAGAACCAGAGCCAGCTCTGCAGCCCCTCACTTTCAGTGGCTTCCTCCACAGAACGGCCCTGGGTCCAGTTTCCCCAACAGCATCTCTGAGCTCCTTACTGGAAGCCACGAAAGTGGAACACAGAAATAATACTTCCTCGGTGGTCGGTCATAAATGATGACTTTGTAGAATTTATTGTCCTGGTGTCCGACAAACTTTATGGCTCATGGAAAACCACTGTTTGAATGAACCAAAACCATTTCTGGAGGAGGATGCAGTAAAATAAACCGTTTTTTCAGGTAAATACAGTTTGGTGAATTAACAGACACGCGGTTTTTGGGATTCTTGCTAACTTTTAATACGAAATAATTTGTCCAGCCCTTTTAAAGGCACAGTATGTAAGAATATACACTCTAAAAAGTCTAGCATGCAGCTGTTCACTCAATCTAATAACTTCAATTCAAAACAGAATAAAAAACATTGATTTGATTGTAAAACTCTTTCTTTTTGCATTTTAAATCATCACTTTGATTTGTTTGGAATTAAATACCCATTCAAACCAATCAACACAACGTTTTGATTTCACTATATTTCTGTTCATGTTCAGCAGACAATATTTTTAATAAGAGTCAAATGCGATTTGCGCATGAACACCTGCTGCCGTGGGCAATGCACATTGTGGGTAGTCATGTTCTTAGTGATTTTGTTCAATTTTTGGGTGTTTATGCATGTTTATTTGGTGGGGGGGTAGTGTTGTTCTTAGTCATTACTTCATTCACTGTTGCAAATGTGGCGTTACTTGTTATGTCATGTTGGCACCGTCAGTGTGGAGGTAGGTCAGAGGAATGAGACTGCTGTGCTAATCCACAGCGGTGGTTTGCACTCAAACCTCTGGAATAGGCGCTCTGGGTTTTCCTCTAACTTAGTGTTTGCAGGCTTGTTAGGTGTAAGGCTGCAGGCATCATTCAATGTTGCTGTTGCAAAAATGCAGTTTGATTATATGTAAATGAATTAACTGGTGTCATTGCAACCATTTTCAGTCATGTTAATTTGGTTGAATGTAATTGCAACAGGTCAAGTCGAAAACCATCGTTTGTGAAGAAATGCATTTGAATCAAGTCAAATAATTAAGGTTTGGTCAAGGGAAGTAACTTGCTTTACATCAATATATAAACAGCAGGTCACATTAGGTGAATACATTTAGTTTCTGTGAAGTCAAATATTTTGGATATGAAAATTGAACATCTATTCTTTATTTAAGTGAGGTTATTCTTTTAGCTGTGTATGGAGAATTTTACAGGGAGAAAATCCCAAAAGAGTCTAATGTTTCAGTCATTTAGGAAGGAAGGTTTTACTGAAACGTATTTCATATCCAGCTGGCTGCGGAGGTTGTCACTTGTTCTTCTTTCAAAACAAAGGAAGGAGGGATGAAACTACTGTTTACCACCAGTGAGTGTGGGCTTGCTGTGTCTCCTGTGGGCTAATGCCGCAGCGCAGATAATTGTAATTCAACGACGGCCGGCAAAAAGCTCCAGTGCTATTTGAAGGGAGTTGCAGTAACCAAATTTTGCCACAGGATGTCATTTTTACTTCATTTCTACATAATGCACCTTTAAAGGTGTGGAATCCCTTATTTATTCAGTACATTTACAGTGGTCTCTAGTGAATTAATGCCTTGTAAGTCACATTATGGGGAAAAAAGCTCCCGTGCACCCGTTTCAGAAATTACAAGTGAGACACATCAGAGTTGAGATTCAGACGACAAGGTTTGAAGTCTTATTTGCTCATATTTGGACATCACGTCTCAGATTTGCTAACAGCAAAATGACTCCTCCACTGACTCGGTTTGCACCGACATGTTGAGCCTGGAGGAGTTCTGCTGTGTGGTGCAGCTGCTAATGCCAACAGTTAGCGTCTACTTGTCAAGATGTTCTCTGCTGTTTCTTGGATGCTAAACTAACAAGACAACAACCCTAAACACTGCTCAGAATCTACTAAGGCATTCGTGCAGAGGAACAAGTAGAACGTTCTGGAATGTTCATCTCAGTCCCCAAACCTGAATATTATTGAATATCTGTGGTGTGAGTTAAAGAGAGATGTCTATGCTCAGAAGCCATCAGACCTGAATGAGCTAGAGATGTTTGGCATGGTCCAAGATACCTTCAGCCAGAATCCAGACTCTCATTAGAAGCTGAGAGAGAGAGAGAGAGAGAGAGAGAGAGAGAGAGAGAGAGAGAGAGAGAGAGAGAGAGAGAGAGAGAGAGAGAGAGAGAGAGAGAGAGAGAGAGAGAGAGAGAGAGAGAGAGAGAGAGAGAGAGAGAGAGAGAGAGAGAGAGAGAGAGAGAGAGAGAGAGTGAATTTAACTTCCAGTAACATGAAATAAGTACTGGTAAAATTGTGAAAGACATGATTTGGACCGCCTCTAGATGGAGTTTAAATTGTTTTACATTCAATAAATATATAATAAAAAAGTGCCTGTGAACTGAGACAGACAGACAGACAGACAGACAGACAGACAGACAGACAGAATTAAAACAAACCAGGTAAAACACAAAGATACAAACCTACATGTGGTTTAGCAGACAGCTGTATCAGTGTTTCTAAAGCTCAGACTGGTAGAGAATAGGCACTAAAGTTAATGTTCACAAGAATCAGTACATTGTTATGCAT